GTTACCCGTTTGGGACGAGGCTCGATTTTTGGCGCCGATCAGTGGGGCTGAGTCAGCGGGCGCCAGGGGAAAAAGTAAAAGGGAGGAAAGACGCATCCGGTGGTGGCTCGACTCTCGAGGGGTTGGAGATCTGACACGGTCGTTGCAGTCCATCCTTTTACTCTCTTCGTTTCTTCCAGCGTGGCTTAGGGTCTCTGTGTGTTTTGTGCGCGACTCCTCTTTTGGCCGAAAGTTATAGATCATCCCATCTCCGGTCCAAACGCAATCTCCGCTCTCAACACCAGGACTCAACTGTGACACCTTTGTTCTCATACGCTTCGACGGGCTATTGAGCGCACCATGAATCTCTTATCGCAAGCCCTTGAATATGGAGCTCCTCTATTGTGCGCTTCTATGTCCGCTGTTGGCCTGACCAGATCACTGATAATGAATCTCAAACAGTATCATGACCTCGCCGGTCACCTCGTATGCGGACCAGATCCTCAGCATCCACCGCAGCCGAAGCTCGGCTGGCTTCTCCATGGACATCCCATTGATCATGCTCATTGCGTCGATTCTGAAGTAAGAGATGTCGTGGGGCAGTGACGCGACGGGGACTGACACATAATACCTAGGGTCTTCTACTGGTTCGGCGCCAAGTACTCTCTTTCGCTCCTCATCCAGGCCGTCCTCACGATCGGAGTGCAGATTATCTTGCTGAAGGTAGCCCTCGACAACCGGCCGGCCCCTGGCTTGAAGAATGGAGTGGAGCACGTCCCCTTCAGCAGCGTGGACAGCGGGCAGGGGTTCACGAGACCGTATGACTTTTGGCAGTGGCGGAGCGCGAAGCCGTATGTTTCCTTGTCCCCCCCCCCCCCATTGCGATGTGGTTGCTGACCCAGCTGATTGTGTAGCTACTGGATGTTCCTCGCCTATTTCACTGTGGCCCTCGCCGTCGTTCAAGTCTTCCTTCCCCCGCTCGCCTACTCGCAGTCCTATATCGGTCTGCTGGGATACGTCGGCCTCGCGGTCGAGGCGACGCTGCCGTTGCCTCAAGTCATCAAAAACCACCAATCGCGGTCCTGCGTGGGGTTCCGGCTGTCGGTGGTTGCGGCGTGGATCCTGGGTGACATCACGAAGCTGAGCTACTTCTTCTGCAGCGCGGAGGTGATACCCTGGTCGTTCCGGCTGTGCGCGATGTTCCAGTGCATCTGTGATTTGTATTTGGGACTGCAGTTCTGGATGTATAGTGGACCCTCGTTTGGGGCTGCGGGCAGTCCTTCTCGGGGTGCGAGTGAGGGGTGGGAGGTGGAGGAGAAGGATATTCGGATGACTTGATGCCTTTATGGGGGGGTGTATATAGATATGGCAGTTTGCTGTAGGGCTAGATTCTCAACTGGATCTCCAGACTACACAGACTGTTTTGTTGAAATTATAGATTCATTCAACAGCTGTTTTTGTTGTTTTACAGTAGAGTGGAATCGGGACCGCTCTCCGTCCGATCGATCGCCGAGCGGGCGGCAGATGACATGCCGCTGCCGCTCAGTCCGCGGGGTCAACTCCATCCCCCACCATCCATCCTTTCGCTCTCAAGTGTTAGTCCGTTGCCTGTTCTCCGTACTGCACCGCATCGAAAGCTCCCAACCATGGCCTCCAACACAGAAACGATCCGAATTGGCTATGTACCAGGTATGTCTACCATTAGTATTCCAGCAAGACCATCACCACCCCTCATACATCCCAAGCCTTGCTCCTCCTGCACGAGGAAGACCAGAACCACCAACCCACCCCCACCACCCATACTTCCTACCGAAATCCTGACAGAAAAGTAGAGCACTATCTCGGCCCGCTGCACCTGGCGCTGCGCTCCTCCGCCGCCGCCAACCTCCCGTTCGAAGTCCAGCTGGTCCCCTTCCCCTCCGGCACGGGCCACATGATCACCTCGCTCCGCGACCAGGAGATCGACCTCGCGATCGGGCTGACGGAAGGCTGGGTCGCCGGGCTGGTGGGCAAGCAGCAGGCGCCGAAGCCCGCCGCGACGGACGGCTACAAGATCGTGGGCCACTGGGTGGACACGCCGCTGCGGTGGGCGATCGTCACCGGGCGCGAGCGGGAGACGATCCGGGGCGTGGAGGATCTGAAGGGGGGGAGGGTGGGCGTGAGTCGGTTGGGAAGGTGAGCATTCTGCAACAAAAAAACATGATTTCGCCTACCAAGATCACCACGACTGACAAGTGCATGGTGTTTTTGGTGGGGTTACAGCGGCTCACACATCATGTCCTTCGTCCTCTCGCAGACCCACCACTGGTCGGAGAGGGACAGCCTCACCCCGACCATCCTGGGGCCGTTCGGGTCCCTGCGCGACGGGGTCGCCGGCGCCGACGCCGACCCGACGGCCGACTTCTTCATGTGGGAAGAATTCACGACGAAGCCGTATTTCCGGCCCACCCCCGAAAACCCGCACCCGCCGCTGAAGAAGATCGGCGAGATCTACACCCCCTGGCCGTCGTGGATGATTGTCGCGTCGACGGCGACGTTCCCCGTCGGGGAGCTGGGGCGGGATACGCGGTTGGAGAGGCTGTTTGAGGTGTTGGATCGCGGGATTGAGGAGTTTGAGGCGGATCGCGAGAGGGTGATCGCGTTGTTGGGGACCGGGGAGCTCGGGTGTACGTATGGGGAGGAGGATGCGCGCGAGTGGATGAAGGATGTGCGGTTTAGCCAGGGGACGAGGGGGGTCAAGCGCGAGGTGGTGGATGGGGTCGTGGATGTGTTGAAGGTTGCGGGGGTTATCGATGGGGAGGTGGAGAATGAGGCCGCTTTTGAGCGGGTGGTGGGGATTGCGCGGTAGATTGTTGTTGAGAATAGTAGTTTGTTTGTCCCACGGATAAGAGACCTAGTGGCATATCTCGTGAGAGTACTCCGTAGGCAGGCCGAGTCCTCCGTACCACGTAGGGAATGTCAACCCAGCGTTGATGCTGTCTAGTCTATAGTCCAGATCAAGTGCGGTTCCACAACCATAAGGATCGGTGGGTAGCACAGGCAACACCGTCCCTGTAGCTGCAGCCTACAGCCTACAGTCTACAGTACAGCCTCCCTCAACCCCAATATCAAATGACTCTTCATTTTGAGTATCAAAGAACCCTCCCGCTCCGCAGAGACCCTAACCCCAATCCCAGCGATACAGCCAGGCCACCTAGCATACCATATATCCCCCGGCCAACAGCCCAACAGCCCAACAAGCCAACAAGCCAACAGTCCCCCAGCGCATTCCTCCCCGCCCCCTCATGTAGAGGATCCCATCCGCAACCGTCCCCCCGGAATAGAACTTAGGTTGAAAGCACGTCCGTCAGACGCAGGTACACACGCGCAGGATGTTTCAGAGGGCAGGGAGCGTTGTCCGTGCGCGGGATTCGGATTGACCTAGACAGACAGACCCGTGGACGGGGGCGGGGATGGGGGATGGGGGATGGGGGATGGGGATGAAGATGAAGATAAAGCTGTTTGCACGTTTCTGGTTCCATCCCTTTGCTTGTTTGTGTTTGTTGTGTTTGTTTTGTGGTTGTGCTACGCGGGCTGTATACTAAACCTAAACCTCGTGCTTGGTTGTATGCTCCTGCAAAAAGTATGTTTCGATCATCCTACACTTCGTCATCATCATCATCATCATCATCGGGATGGTCTTGTCAAGTGCCGTATCACACGCCCCTGCCCCCATCGACTGATGATACTGAGCCTTTGTGACAGTTGGGGAGGGGTATGAGCATCCCGGAGGAGGGCTCGAAGGCGTGTGATTTGATTAACGCTTGTCTTGTCTTGTCTGGCGTATTGGAACAGTCTGGACTGCGGTTATATGTCGCCGTTTTCTGTTCTCGTGTAACGACCCCGGTCAATGATCAATGATTCTTCTGTCCCTTGCATGGTGGGCGCGTGGCTGCTGCATGACGATGAAATGAGGGGACGGGAACAGGAACAGGAAGTAACTTAGGCAGTCAACCGGCAGACTGCGGAGAGGTGGGTTTTGCGTCATTCGTTGGGATTGTTGGGGGGGGGGGGGGGGGG